GATTCAGGGATGTTTTAGTGCTGAGCTCTGGAGAGCGAAGACCTTCGGTGTCAACAACCAGTAAAAAATCAAAGCCAAACTCCTCTCTGACATTCTCATCCACCTTTAGCATCTGCATAAAAGCACCGCGCGTACACCTCCCTGCACTTACAGTGAACTGAAGACCAAACATAGTATTCAGCAAGGTTGATTTACCTGAGCTTTGGAGTCCCAAGATAGACAGCACATACACCTTTTTGTCCCCAAGCTTATCAATGAGACTCTTCAGGACAGCTTGTACCCAAATAAGGGGTACATGTGATTCATCCCCATCCATCAGCTCTAGTGGGTATCCTGAAATTAGCATTTCAGCTCCAAGTGCAGGGAGAGCACCAACAGACTCTTTAACAGAACATTCATACATCTGACCGACCTCTCTCATAATGTGCTGTAATCCAATTGTACTTGCAGCCATCTTTTCAGATATGGAATTAAGCTCTTTACTGAGCATATCAAGTTCTTCTGCTTTCTCCTTAGTCTTTGGGACATTTTTCATTTGGGACCAAATTGAGTGGTAATTCTCCTCAAGTTTTGCAAGGTCATCAGAAGATGACTCATCGAGTAAAACTCTGAGCCATTGCAGCATGTAGAATTTTGTATCTTCTGAATGATCACTTGATGTTAAACAGTCCAAGAATGATCTCATGAAATCATTGAGTGACAAAGCTATTTCCCTTTGTTTTTGACGTGTGGCTTTCATATCACTTAGAATCACATCTTTTTGTTGTTCAATGGTTTCATTTGTCTGGCAACTCAGGCGATACTGCTGCTTATTTTTCAAGCACCAGTTATGCCACAGTTCACCATGCAGAGGCAGAAACTCCTTTTTGATATCTGAAATGCCTTTTTCCTTCAACAAACAAACTAAAGTCTGTGCCAGTTCATGTCCTTCTTTGAATGACTGCTTGTCCTCATCAACTTTGAACTTTAGTTTTCTTGCTTCATTAGAACAGTTTTTAATGCTCTGTTTCTTGTTATATTTTCCAGTGCATTGCTTGATATTGGTTATGAGTTCCTCTGTTAACTCTGCTTCATTCCTGTTCTTGGCAGCTAGTCTCACTTTGAGTGGATTTTTTGAACCCTGAACCCTTTCACTTTCAGTAAATAGGCAGATCAATGGGACAGGAGACTGAGAGAGATTTTGACAAATTGTTTTTGTTTCTTCATCCTGTGGCTGTTCTGACAATAGAAGCACATTCACTGTACTTACTGCCTGCAGAAATTCAAGTTGCTGTTGATGATCTTTTGCGTCACCATGAAGGTTTAGAAATGCAACACAGTCATCAAATATGTCATCCTTCTTTCCTCCTGGACAGTACCAGGCGATCTCGACAACCCCATTCATAAGCATGCTGTTTGGAGCACTGCCTTTACAGTGCCGATTGAAGAACACATTGTGTCTCTGTTTACTAATGACGGAATTCAGAATTTGAGATTTGGAGATGAAAGAACTCCCCAGCCTTACAAAAGACACAACTGGCACAGGTGTGCTAAACATTTGTCTGATTTGGTATTTTCCAGGGTTGTCTGCGCTTGAGTTTGTCATACTTTGCCATGATTTTTTGATGTGCCGTAGAGGCCAAAGAGGGAATTCCAGGACTTCTGTACATGGTTTGGGAACTAAGAAAGGTAGTGCAAACTGGCAGGCAGAGAGTTTTGTGTACATGTACTGTCTTAGAAAGTCATTGGCACAGTGGAAGACCGCCATGTGGATATCCATGGGATGGATGTGCGACGCTGTGCCTGCCAGATCTGCTCCACTGGTTGGTTCCTCATTTGTATTAAAAAAATCAAAATCATCAAAGGCTGTACCATCATCTTCTAGAAGTGAACCAGTTGCTACTGGTTTAAAAGAGAGATATCTGACATTGTAGTCTAAAATCATGAGCTTATACAGATATTGACTCTTCAAGTCTTCTACTGTATCTGGTTGATTTAGACAAAGAGACAAACTGCCAATAACAAGAATATCATTCAGTTTAATCTTTTTGGGAAAAAGGTCAATGAGGTCAAGTTTTTCGAATATATTGGTAGAGTTGTTCATTTCTATTTTGTTAGCTGTTAAATTCTTAAAATCAGTTGTGTCCTCAGATAAAGACATTTTGTTTGGTGGTAAACTACCCAGCTGTGATGCTGTATCCTCTCCATTTGTATTTTCTTCTTTCAAGTTTGATTCCCTTATAACGGAATTTAATTCTTCTTCAAGGAGTTCCCAGTTATCATGACATTTTTCATCTATTGATTTAATGGTATTTGAAATGTTGTCCTTCAGGTGAAATTTAATTAATTCTAACCGTGCTTCTTTTTTCTCAGAGGAAATATATGCTTCATCTTTGGATAAAGTCAGCACTTTCAGAAACACGTAGGCTTGAGCTTTTGATACACTTTGCTCTTTCAGAGAGCAATATTCCTTGTAAGATATTTCTATCTCATTTTGCAAGAAGTTGATTTCTTTCCAATCCAGAAGATGATTGAATGACTTACTCTCACAGCAGTATCCCAAAGCATCAATACTGGACAGAACCAAGAGTTCAGCTTCATGTTGTTGCTGGTCTCTTAAGGTTTGACACAAGGAGTTCAGTGAGTTGGTAACAGTGCATGTGGCTTTTACTGTGGATGAACGGTGTTCACTGGAACTGAAGGCGCACTGACCTTCTAATTCTTCTTTGTTTTGTTTGAGGATCTTTATTAGTTCTGGAATATCTGACACTGGAATATGTGTGCTTACATTTTCAGTTACAGTTGTGGTTTCTGATAATGTTGAAATATAGACTGTCAGACTTTCTTTGCTTTGACCAGATTCACCACAATTGCATGTAATTCTAATATAATAAGCTGCATCTGGCTGTAACCCAGTCATTTTAAAGACTTCACCTTTACTAGACTTTTTTTCCCAGTCTGCCTTATTTTCATTTTCTTTATTTCTGTATTCAACAACATAATTTTCAATGCTGACCCCATTTCCAACTATAACAGGTTTTGTCCAAGTAACTGTAATCTCCTCTGAGTCTGTATCTATTTGTTCTGGCTTCCCAGGAGGACTTGTGGGCAAAGTTTTAATGCTCTCAGCTTCACTGGTTAGACTGACACCTGCTGGACACACTGCCTTGTATCTGAACCTGTAGCCTGTGTAGGGAAGCAGTCCAGACACAGTACATTCTAGGTTAGATTTGGGTACTTCAACAAATTTCCAGCTACCTGACTCATTAGCACAGTATTCAACCAGGTAGTGTGTGATTTCACTGGATCCATACTGGGGGTGACTCAGCTTTATTGTCACACTGTCATGAGTGACGTCAGATGCATTTGGTCTTTCTGGCTTTGATGGAGGCTCAAAATGGTCACTTTTTTTCCTGTCTGTGTAAAGGTAAATACTTGCCCCTTTGTGCTCATCGTTAGGTATGGATGCTGATATAAAGTGTGTTTTCTTATTCTCCTTGTTTGCTTTTGCAAAATCTATGAAGAGGATTGCTTGTTCATTCATTTTTTCTGACACAGCATCTGAGAAGTAAAACTCACACGGCTCGACATCCTTCCCATCTTCCTCTGTTGGTTCTGTTAGCTTTGCAGTTGAAAGAGCCTTTAAGTGACTCCGCAAGCAGAACAGATACGGTTCCTCTTCACCCAGTGATGTGAATGCAAAGCACACTACATTCTTATCTCTGTTTTTGAAGATTTCACTTTGAAGCTCACTCTTTGATGCCAGAATTTTTGTGTCTTCCATCATATCAGTGTACACCTGGAGCAGGTTGATTTCATGCTCTTTGCAGTCCAGCCATTCCTTAAGTTTATTGCTGTTGAAAGGAGACTGTTCCTTATTTGTTAGGATGTTTGCAAGCACACATTCCTCTTTTCCACCTCCACGAATTAATGGTAAAATACTTGACAAAGAACTCTGAAACACTGATTTATACTCCAAGCACATATCCTTGAAGGATTTTATCTTTTGACCAATTTCAGGAAAGTATGAAATAGCCTTTCTGGTTGTAATATCATTGCTTTGCATTTCTATTTCATTGAAGTCCTCTATCACGCTCTGTGTTTCATTTATTAATCTGACACTGATCTGACGCACTAATCTGGCAGCAGAAGAATCTAAGGATTCCAGTGGGAGTAACCACACCCTGACTGGCACAGCGTTTTCCCCCTTTTCACCCAGCAGATCTGGAAGTGTTGTGTATAGTTTTACAGCATCCTGGAAGGAAACAGGGTTCTGTTTCAGGGCAAAGTCCCCATAAAATTTACAAGACAACTTATCAACAGTAGCTTTTTCAGTGTCTGTCAGCTTTAAGGAAGCCTTCCCTTCGATTGACAAGGATGGTATTTTCTTTATCATCACTTGCAGGTTCCCCTCAATGTTTTGTTGGTCCTCAGTTTCTGACGCTTCTCGATCAAAAACAAAAAATGCCTGAGCACCGTACAGCACTGCTGTTACCACGTGTGTCGCTATTCCCTTCTCAAACACATATGGGTGTTTAACATTTCCCCGTCCAAGGTGACTCATAGACAGCTGCATGAACTTCGTAATTGTTTTATACTTCAGGGTGACACGTGCCTGTTTTTTTGAAGTCTTTGTATCCTTAAGATATTTGGCAGATCCATCAACCTCAATCAGTCCCCCTATGAAACTTGCTTTCAGTGAAGCGCCAACATCCAAAGCCCATGTCTTATCTTCTACAGAATCAGATGCAATGATATTGAATTCTGTTTTGTGCTGAATTCTTTCATCTGAGTCTTTTTTAAGGTCTTCAAGATCCCACATTGTAATTCCTGCATGGGAAAATAATCATATTAGTGGTTTAAATAAAATGTATTTCAATAATGGAGCCAGGAATAGATTTTTCATTAAATTCAGCTAAACTCTTATACTTTTATTCTTTGTTTCTCTAGGGCAGGGGTCTCCAACTCCGGTCCTGGAGAGCTACCGTCCAGTAGGTTTTCTATCATACCTGGCTTCTGATGAGCCACACCTGTTCTCAGGTAAATACCAGGAACAGGTGTGGCTCATCAGAAGCCAAGTCGGACAGAAATCCTACTGGATAGTAGCTCTCCAGGACCGGAGTTGGAGACCCCTGCTCTAGGGGGTATTCCATGAAAGTAGCTAAAGAAAGCCAGACTTTCCCGAAAAAGTCAGACTCAAACTAGCGCCATCTCTAAACTTAGCCTCATGTCGTTCCACTAATACAGTTCAGCTTTAACCAATCAAGGCTCATACAAGACAGACGTGCATAGTCACACTTAGTTCGTACACCCGAGATATTTAAGAAGCCCAAATGGATGGATGAACGATAGATCAATCAAATGAGTCGGAAAGCATGTAAAATAAGAGTGGTGTTTTTTTTCGCCGCAGAACAAATGCTGCTGATGGAGCTGTATTAAGAATACAAAGATGTAATCGCTAAAAAGGCAATACTGTGGCCATAAATAAAGCCAGGGAGTTGGCTTGGCAAAGAATTGCAGACAGACTAAATGCACAAGTTACATAAATGTTACAAGTGCCTTGTACAGTGGCACGGTGGTACAGTGGTTTATGCTGTCATCATACACGGCGAAAGTTCCTGGTTCGATCCCCATAGCCAACGGGGAACCTTCTGGGTTGAGTTCCCATGTCGTTCTTACCATATAATTTTATTCTGTATTATTTTATCTCTGTAAAATACTTTCGATCGCATCTGTGTGAAATGTTCTGCACGAATAACTGTATCTTGTCTTTGCTTTTTACTAATAAACTTTCAAAGTAGACTGTGACTAAACAAAATATAAAAATATCTTCCTCTTCATATAATTTTAATGGATTTTTTTCTATTTCAGTCATTGCATGTCATATGTTTGATCTTTGTAATATGGGTACACTTATTTTAATCATTTTGGAATGAATTGGAATGCTGAGACATGATTTGTATAGGTTTTATTATATTTATTACATGACATGAGTAGTGAGAGCGTGAATTTTCGTCCAATGGAACGATCGTTTGGGAATCTGTTCCCATACGTCGGACATTCTTTGAGACAACGCTTATCTAAGCGAGACAGTTAACCTGGTCCAGAGCAGACTTGTTCACTGGCCTAAGTTACCATGGTAACTCAGCGGGGATTCATTTAGACACGTTGATGGAACTCCCACTTAAATGAGCCACACTTGTCGAAATAAGTCAGACTTTCCCTTAATCCTGCTTCATGGAATACCATCCATCCATCACCGTATCCACTTAATCCCAACTGGGGTCGTGGAGGGGACCCCCAGCAGCCTATCCCGGGAACAAAGGGCATAGGCAGGAATCAACCCTGGGCAGTCGCCAACACAAAGGGCCAATTTAGTCTCGCCAATGAACCTGCCCAGCATGCTTTTGGACTCCGGGAGGAAACTAGAGTCTCCGGCAAATACCCATGCGAACTCCACACAGAAAGGACCTGGGACCGAACCCAGGACCTTTTTGCCGTGAAGCAGCCGCACTAGCCATTGCACCACCATGCCACCCTTCACTGAATACCCCCATAGGTAAATAATCTTTTTATTTACAAACAACTTTAAAGTAGGAATATACAGTGGTACCTCAGTTCTCGAACTCATTAGAACTCGAATTTCTTAAAAGTCGAACCAACCAGTTTGAAAAAAAATTACCTAGAGCTCGATCTGAATCTCAGAAGTCAAACCGTGAACGCTGACCTAAGATAACTTGTATGCGCAAGGAAATGAGTCACGTGGCATGTCTCTGAGTGGAAACAAAGGGTAACGCTTCAGTCTCAGCCTCGCATTAGCTGTGATAGCACCGTGCATGTTTACACTAGCTGAATACATATATTTAGACAGTAAAAATACATTTAGACAACGATAGACAGTAACAGTGAATATTATTGTATAATAAAATACATTTTAAAATAAAGATTTCTTATTCATTATTTTAATATTAATAATAAATCATTAATACATTTAATTATAATAATATTGTCGTACCGAGCAAGGACGGAATGGAGACAAAGGCGCAGATGTCAGGGTATCGGGGAATACAGGGTTTAATTACAGGTAAGGCAGGCAAAATGCAGACGGACAATACAATGACCAGACTGGTGAAACAAACTGATACGCAGACGAAATACAGAGGGCTAATGAAAACAACCAAAAACAGCTGATCACACGGGGATTCCACACAGGGTTAACGAGGGGGCGTGGCACACGGAAGGAGTGGACGATCGGGGCAGGACACATTGTTTTTTTTAAACTTTACACATTATTTTCTTACTTTACAAATTACTGTTTTGATAAATGTGCTTAGATGTGTTTAGTACAGTATATGCTCTTTTTGTTTTATCCGGTTCATTTTGTGTTTAAATGCTAAAAAAAAAACATTTAGGTGTCATTTTTTGGGGCCGGGAACCAATTAATTGGTTTTCCATTATTTCTTATGGGGAAAATTCGATCAGATCTCAAAATTTTTAGGATTCAATCCGGAGTTCTGAACGGATTAAGTTCGAGTTTTGAGGTACCACTGTACTTTTTTTCCAGGTAACTTCTGTGATATCAATGATAAACTGGACAAAAACAAGCTTGTATTCATTGTTGGAATGTGTATAATTATTGTTGATAACTATTGTAAATGCAGTTCTACTGTAGGTTTAGTTGTGGTGCAACATACTCAGTATTTCATGTTAGATAATTCTAAGCAACTCTGTATTTGGTCGGGCTGGGCGGTGTATCGAGATTTTAAAACATACCATGATACAAATACAGCATGATATGGATTGGGGAGGTATCTTTTATATCGAGTTAAATGAAGTTTTAAAGTTTTTAAATAAAATTCCATTTCAAAAGTTCTTTTCCCTCACTGTCTGCTGCAGGCTCCACTGCTCTGTTCTGCTAGCAACCCCGTCCCTACTCACGTGTACGCATGTGGTGACATGGTGAACCACGTTGCACATGCAATTTATGAAGTTAGTATAAACTTAACACCGTCTCTGCACGCCCGGTCGTGACAGAATGACAGATCTTCCAGAAGAATACACCGCAGCGGACCGAGAACCAGCGCCTCGGTCTGCTACAAGAGGTGGTGTATTGGCTAAATCAGCCCGAGGTCCGGGAGGACCCCATGGCTTTAAGTTTAGCCAGCCGGAATGGGACCCTCCTGAGTGAGGCACCTCCGCCCGGGAACGCGTACCCCATACGTGAGGTACACTAAAATCTCCGGCGCCTGACGGAGTGGAAAACTGAGAGGTGGATCCAGCTGGTCACCATGCCAAGCAGGTAGAGTGTCGACCAGATGTCCGTCATCTCCAAAGCACTCCCAGCTTCGCCGCCCCAGCCGATCGAAGAGGGAAAAAGAAGAAGCGGAGAGGGAAGAAACCTGAAGACACACCAGCGATCTTCCTAAGGTCCGTCTCTCCGCACAGTTTCATTCCCCGCTGTACATCGGGAGGAACCCCACCCAATCCGTGACCCTACAGTGGAAGCCCTTGGACACCACCACCAGGTGCCCAAAGCCCACATTATCGACACTTGGCTGCCACCGTTAGCAGCCTACGTTTTCCGGAAAGCAAGCCTGGCTCTTAAAGGGGCCAGGTCCGTTTGGGATGCCATTCTGCAGGTCCCAAAGGGCTTTAAAGAGGCAACGCCTGTAGCTAAGAAGCAAACCCCGGGTCCATCCTTTTTTTATTTTTAAACCATCCTTAGTGGTTCCTGACCTACCCATCGTGTCTGTTCCTGACGTGCCCGTCGTGCCTATTCCTGCTGTTGCACCCGAGGCCCCAGCGCCATCCGCGCCTGACACTCCGGCTCCGCCTGAGGTTCCTCTGCCTCCGCCTCCTGCTCCACCCGTCCTAGTGTCTGTCCCAGCTCCCGTAACACCAGTCCCAGTCCCCGAGGAGGTCCGGGACTGTCTGACCACCGCCCCTTCCCCCTTGGAGGAGGAGCTTGAGTGGGACCCCTTGAGGACCTCCCTGATGACCCCACTGGACCCCTCTAGGGAACTGACCCCTCTGCCTTCGCCCCAGTGCGGTGGATCCTGGCTAGGTCCCCACCTGTCGGTGTCCTGAAACGGGAGGGGACACCTACGCAGGCATCGGGTCCTGCCCGCTCTCCCCCTGGCTTGCCCTCGGTCCCCGTTGCCATGGCTCCTGCGGTGCCTGCGGCCCCTCCAACTCCCTCTCGGCGATCGCCTATGGTTCCCCGAGCTCCTGCTCGGCGATCGCCTGCGGGTCCCCCTTCGCTAGCTCATCTGCCGCCCTCGGTCCTGCCTCCGACACCTTGTCGGTCGCCTGCGGGTCCCCCCACTGCCGCTCGTCAATGGACGGCGCCTTCACCTGCTTTGGCTTCACCCTCGCCTGTAGCGAATTCCCCATCCCCCTCGCTCCCGCCATAGTCCCCTCCAGCTGCCTCCTCGACTCCTCTGCCTGTCCCTCAGCCTGCCTCCTCGCCCCCTTCAGGGTCCCCTCCTGCTCCTGCCTCCCTGTCACCTGGGGTCCCTCCGGCAGCCGCCCGCTGTGGCACCCTCGAGCTCCCCCTTCTCCACCGTCCTGGTTTTGGTCTCCCTGTTTTGTCCCCGTCTCTGTTCCTCGTCCTTCTGTGTCTCCTGTGTTCACTCCCGGTCCCTTCGTTCCCTCCCATGGTGTTTCCCCAGTGTCCATGTTCTTGGTCCCCCTGTGTCTGTCTGCGTTCCCCCTGTTGTGCCAATGGTTGTCCGGCTTGTGGTCCCTGTTCCTGTTCTGTGTACCCCGTTGATGGTCTGGTTTTGTTTCCCCAGGTTTCCTGTCCCCGGTTCGGCCCCTTTCCTGAGGCGCGCCCAGAGTGCGCGCCTTTGGGGGGGGGGGGTTATGTCATGCCCAGCATTTTCGATCCTCCCGTGTGCCACTCCCCTCATTAACCTTATGTGGAATACCCGTATTCACCAGCTGTTCTTTGTTTTCTATCAAGTCTTGTATATTTTAAGTCCCTGTCTGAGCCTGTTCGAAAGATCTGTCACTGATGTTGTTAACCGGTTTGTTACCCGTCTCGCTCCCTGTTTATTGTTTTCCCTTATTAAACCTCTGTAATTCCTCAATTCCCTTGCCTTCCTCGTCTCCTTCCCCTGTGAAAATCCATCTCTGCATGCCCGGTCCTGACAGCGTTTTCTAGTGTTACGCCCTATGATTAAAAAAAAAAAAGTTTTTCTATGATTTGTTTATTAAAATTAAATTCCAGTTTGCAGTCTTTTAATTTTTTTGTCTTTTTCCATTTTGGGAATCTGTTTAAAGGCAATTTTAAGAGAATGTTAAGCTAAAATCGAACATTGAAGTAATGAAATACTGACGTGAATTGTATTGCGATAATTATCAGTATTGCTTGATATGAAAAAAATGACCATCATATTTCCAGTTCATGTGTGTTCTCTGGGATGTGAAATTATACTCTGTGTATTGTTAGTACAATGCTGTACTTGTTGAGCTACAGGAGCTAAGCTACCCTCAAAGGCAGGGTGTCATGAACACTTAGTGGATCCTCTTCACAGTATGGATTAAACTCTTTAAAACGTGTGGTCTCTTATTGAAAACTCTACCCTAGAGTTGCAGCTCTACGCAATCTGGTAATGAACCAGAAACAGCTGTTTGATTTAGCGACTTACCTGGAATGAGACAATCTTTACGGCAATCATACAGCATCCCCAGCTGGAAGGGTCTTCCAAGAGCTGCCACCTCCAGGAGCGTCCGTGAGTCGGTTTCCATGATTTGAGTTCTGAGGGTTATATACTATGATTAATTCATAACTGTGTTAATGTTACAAATTACATAAAATACTAAATTATATAATTTAAAATGAATAATTCTGAATTGGCTCCTTTCGATGCGAAGGAGCAGTGGCTCTACTTTGAGCCCCTTCTGAATGTCTGAGCTCCTCACGCTATCTCTAAGGCTGCATTACTGCCGACACCGCATTGATTCGTTTGTCGATCTCCTGCTCCCTATTTCCCTCACTCGTGAAGTGAGCCACTCAAACTCCTCCACCTGACGCATCAACTCATCCCCCAAGAGAAGGCAACCCACCCTGGACCTCTGTGATCCTAGGAGCTACAGGATGTTGTAGGGAACTGCCCCTGGTATGGTCTCCCAAGGCAAATTGGTCCTAGGTGAGAGGCCAGACTAAGTGTGGTTCAGGGAAACACCTATGATGATCGAAAATAATGAACATGTTACGCCACCCGGATTGTGGAGACGGGGGCCGCACCCTGGAGCAACGAAATATACATTTTAACAAGAAATAATAAATTATTAATAAGAATAAGGTAAGATCCCTCCTCTAATTTCACAGGCGACTACAAATGCTCCGCACAAGAATATCTGATAGGACAAATGAAATAAACATGATTGGGACAGTCTAAAGCTGACCAACTGGGTAAGCTAAGCAGAAATTTAGGGGGGCATTGCACACCCCTGCCAACATCTAGATCCAGCTGTGCTGGAACTTCCACCAAACTTCTATGTGAGAGCTGGTGCTTGTGGTCAACCAATCAGCAAGTTGCTGCAAGCGCCTCCCCAATAGTTTGTGGTCAAACGAAAAGTAGGGACTAAGAAGGGTTCTTCTGAGGAACTACAGTCAGACCAAGTTCCTGTGGTGGGGACACAACAAAGTTCCTGGTTCCGAAAAAAGGTTCTTTAGGTGGGAAAACACTTCAACCACTTGATTGGGTGGGCCAAACAAAAAAACTATTACGTTAATACCAGTTAGTACATTAAGGGTAGTTATTACATTATTGGCTGCTACAGGGGCTACTCCCCAAAGCCAGATGATACAGTTATACAGGTGACTTTAAAAGTTTCTTCAAAGTGTGCTGTCAGGAAACCTGATTCCTGGCCACATATCAATGTCCATGGTCCACTGGTCCTTTGGGAAGTTCTATGGATCCCTGGCGAGTCCAGCTGCTTTTAATTTAAGCAGATAATCATTTGATTCCCCAAAGAAAATAAGCCATGTTGCAGTGTGTTTTGACACTCAGTACGTCTGAGGGCAGGAGGATCTGGCTGCAGAACACTGAGCAACGACCACCACTGTGGGGCCGGAAATCAGTACATCTCCACACCTGTCTGGTTGCTAAGCAGAATATAAATGCTATTTCTTGTAGCTATAAATCCCCACCCTGTAACCACAAATTTAGCTAGAGGCAATTTATTTAATCATAACTCCATTCTCAGTACAAGTATGATTTCATAACAGTTTTCGATATAAACAACATAAAAATGTGACTGAAAAGCACTGAATACCTGAGGTGTTGCATTCTTCGAGCATTGCTAGTGTGGAAGAAAAATTGATACTATGCTCTATGCTTTTAAAACATTAATCAATATTAAGCAATTAATAATGAATTCTATGTTACCATTTATGTTATAACTGTTAACTGTAATTATATGCAATTGTATAATTACTGCTTTATGATTCTGTTACAGAAAATATGGTATGATGCAATTATTGTGTAGTAAGCTGTAATGCTTAAAAGCGGAACTGATGTATTTTGATATGGGAACTCATTCTGCAAGAGGACCGACCTAAGGTAGAGACCAGGGGCTTCATGCATAACGACGTGCGTAGAATTCACACTAAAACATGGCGTACGGACAAAACTAGGAATGTGCGTAAGCAAGAAAAAATCCAGATGCATAAAACTGTGTGTAAGCACGGATCTACGCACATTCCCTTTATAAATCCCAAGGAGCGTGAAATTTTACGTACGTGAACGAGCCCACAGCCACCCCCCGACCCGCCCATAATTATGTATATTTGCATATGTAAATCTGTATAAATGCCCGCTTTGTTCTATATGTTTTTCTTAAACAACAATGGATAAACCACGAGGGAAAAAAGTATTTCAGCGAGTGTGAAGTGGAGGTTATCTTAACAGAAATCGAGAAAAGAAAAGTTATATTATTTGGTGGTATAAGTGGCATCAGCAATAAACGAAAGTTGACGGAGTGGCACAGCGTGGCGGAGTCAGTTAAAACCCAGCTAACATTGGTCCGACGGCAACGTCGTGTCCCTGGCCAAAAATGGTCGGGGTAGGACGGCATAAATCCGTAAAAATATGTAACATAGAACTCTTCCTAAAAATGCATTCAGATAAGTTTGTACATATCTACAGCCCAGCAAACATTGGTCCGACGGCGACGTTGTGTCCCCGGCCAAAAACAGTCGAGGTAAGACGGCATAAATCGGTAAAAATATGTGACACAGAACATTGCCTAAAAATGCATTCAGATACATTTGTACATGTCTACAGTTGTCTGGGGTTGCATGTATAGCTGTCACTTTGAGTTTTAGCTAAGTGCATTTTAATAGTGAGTGCATGTGTGAGCGAAGGTCCACTATGAGACGTCCTTTACAGGTGCATTTACAGTCCATCATGATCCTTTATTAAATCCACTGTGAAATTGAGCACGAAACATGCAAATGCGATTGTGCTTACACCTTGGTTAATACTGCAATAAAAAGTAAGTGCCCCGAGTAGTTTTTAAGAGGTTGTGAAAAGACGGCCACTGACGTCCTTAAATTTACACGTCTATTCAAACAAGACTCATTGTGGGGGAAAAAGGATATATATTTTTAAATGAAATGAACAATAATGTTTATTTACATATTGTTTTATGACAAATTATTCACAAAGTGCTCTGTGATTGTGAAGTCACTGCATTTGGCATTATGCGCCCCGTGTTTTTGAATATTAAAAAATTATTTTGTTATTTTTATGAAATTTATGCATTTACATATGAACAGGTATATATCTGGTTATCATTTATAGTCCGAATTGGTTGTGGATTGTCAAATAAAAAAAAAGTTTACTCGCTTTACTCTGCGTGCGTTTTATTTCCCCATGTGGATACATAAAGTTTTTTAATTTGAA